GCTAAAACAGGTAAAAAGATAAACGCAGAATTATAAGCAGTAGCTGCACTGGGAGATGGGGAAAGTAAGATAAGCGATGTGGCCGTCGCTAAGGCTTCGCTCTTTCCTGCCCTACCATGACCACAGTCCCCTACCTGTCCACCTCAATCCCGCCTGCTTTCCTAGTTCCCACCACTCAAGGGACTCTCCTACTTACGTCAACCAGCTCCTAATTTTTACATTTCTATCATTACAGGTCCTAATTCTCCCATCTTCTTCAGTTGCTCCAGCCATTTTGTACTCCCCACCACTCCGAAACTTTTTTCTAACACGTTGACCTTAATTACACACGGTTTCCCAGTTATCATCACTCCGGGACATAGTTCTTCAACTATCCACAAAACCTCCTCGCCAAGTATCTAGTTTCTATCACTGCAAAACTGACTCTACACATAACTGTTCCTCGGAAAATCCAGTTCGTACCAGACTTGAACCCGTCTTTCTGCATACCTACCCGAATTCGTTCCGGTTACCTAGTCCGCATCACCACAGAAACTTACTCCTTATCCGCCTCAATTCCTCTCCAAGTATCTAGAACCCAGCACTCCAGAACCTAATTTTCCACATATCCACTTTGGCTCATTCTAATCGCTCAATTTGCGTCAGTTCCATTTTGATTTCCAGTTCCAATCAATCCGGGACATAAAGATAGGCATGTCCACCTCAACTTCTCTCCAAATATCAAACTCCTCTAATTCTTTTACCTAACTCTGCCTTTTTAACTCAATTACCGCCTATTTTATGGCTCTTATCACACCTTAGCCATCCAAACGCCACTTGACCTAATTCTCTACCTGTCCGCCTCATCCCATTCTCGCTTCTTACCCTCCATAACTCTGGGTCCCGATTCCCCACGTATTTACAACCATCTGTAAAACTCCGCAAATTGCTCATTTCCATCACTCCCGATCTTAATTTCCATCCTTATTTGCCTCTTTCTGTCCAGTAACCTAAATCCCATCATTTCACATCCTACTTTCTTATCGACGACAGCCTCTCTCCAATTAACCAGTTCCCGACACTCTAGGACCTTTTCCACTTATCCTATTCCCATCACTCTAGAACCCAATTCTCCACATATCTATCTAGGCTCTAACTGCCTACATCAGTTGCTTCTAGCCTTCCATTTGTTATCACTCCAGAATCTAGATTTCTACCTATCTACCTCAGTACCTTCAAGTTGCCTAGTTCACATCACACAAGAACTCGATTTCTTTGCTTATTTGCTTCACT